CCACGCCTCGCTCTGCACCGCCGCCACCGTCGCTCTGTCACAGCGCGGCCGTCTCCGTGCGCTCTGCCTCCCGCTCCCTCGCTCTTCACCGTTCTGTCGATGACATCTCTCCACCCTTCCCCGCCTCCACCCTCCCCTAAATGACCCCAGCAATCGGCGTGCTCGTAAACACCAACAACTCGGACTAACCTCGTCCCACACCCCTTACATCACTGTGTGTGGTGTCTGTCTGCCCACGTTTATGTCGCCTCTGTAAGCTCGCGTGGTTTTTACCTGTTTGTGTGTTTGCCTGCCTGCATTCTTGCTCTCGGTTTTCATGCTCTTTTCCTTGCCTGCAAATGAAGTCTTGTCCTCAGTGTTCTCCCATGCCCGCAACTTCAAATAACTTTATATTTTCTGTTTGTATCTTATCTTCGCTCATCCGTTCTGTTCATTAAAAACAAGCTCAACCCATGGTTACTTTCATTTCCTCCGGCTCATATACTCGTATGTGAGCTTTCTCTTGTTCTCCACTCTCTACCGTTCACTTCTTCAGTTCTCCACCATCCATCTCTAATTCTCTTCGCGATTTTATCGAATGTACTCAGCGGCGCCCGCCTCCATCCCATTCATGCATCGATCACGTCCTCAACCCAGCTCGGCCTGAACAGGCTCCCCGCGACGCGGCCGGGCCCGGGCGCCAGACCCGACACCGGTGGCCGATCCATCGCAGCGCGGCGCCCTGCCTCCGCCGGCCGGCTCGTGACCTCTGCCGGAGTCGCGGTGATGGATCGACCCGCGCCGCCCCGGAAGGCCTCATGCGGTATTCATGGGCGCCGCCGGCCGTGACCGTCCTCGCCTGCCGGCGGCGGCTCGCGGCGCGTCCTCCGCGGCGGGAGGCGGAGGTCGTCCTCGCCTGTTGACCTCTCCGCTGCCCGGTCTCCCGTACCCCTGAACCTCGGCTGGCGCTCTGGAGACCGGGCGACGGCGGCGGCGCGCCAGGCCCTGGGCTTTCCTGGCAGCGTGGGATTTTTGTGTCGCCTGCAGACGAGGAATTTGCGAGGTCTTTCCTCATGGCTGAATGCGCGAACATTTGCTAAGGCTGCAAAGGGTTTTGCGCAACTCTGTGTCAATTGTTTGACTCACATTTTTACTTGATTGCACGTTGCGCGAGCTTTTCGTGGGTTGTACTCGAATTGTACGAGAGTATGTCGCAGTTCCCTGCGCAGCGCTGAAGCATAGTCCATTTATCTCCGGATTCCATCGCCGTTCTTGGATCTGCATTATGGCAAGCCCATCCAATGTGCGCCCGCAGAAGGATCTTCTCCAGTGATTGACCGCGGATCGACGCGCGGTCTGGCGCCGCTGTCGAAGCGTCCCGGCCCTCACGCCCTCCGCTCGTCCTCCCGCGCGTCGTACGCCCCGTTCCGTTCCGTTCCGTTCCGTTCCGTTCCGTTCCGGTGGCGGGCGGTGCGGCACGATGTCAATTTCCGGCCGGCGGCGGAGCGCCGGTCGCTTCCCGCCCCGCTTCCGCTGCCGGGCACAGGTCGGCGGAGGTGTCGACGTGGTGCGCGACGGGTCACCGCCGCCCGCCCTCGGCCTCCGCCGGGGCACTCAGCGCGCGGGGCGAGTGTAGTGTCGCCGTTGGTGTTTGTACGCTTAAGCTATAGCAGACACGTTGGCTGCAGTAGTTTTCTGTCATCCTGAACGTCGTTGGACTTGCATTTCATGGGTTGCACAATGTGTAGAAGACGGGGCACAGCAACCCACAAAAACGTGGCATGCACGTCACTAGCCATTATGTGTCCAGTATTTAAATTCACCGTCTGCACGTGCAGTGAATACAAGCAGGCGTGACCTAGCCAGGAACTTCCGGCGCGTCACTTGGCGAGCGGCCGTTTGTTTTCGCCAACCGCAGAAATGTGAAAACGGAGTTGTGAAATGACCTCTCAACCACGCGCGAACGCCAGGCGCTCAACCCGTGCCCGCGGTGAGGGAACCCGACCCACGGCGAGTGAGCTGTTTGTTAGAGGCATTCAACTCAGAGCTGAGAAACGCGACCTAAAACAGCCATTGGATCGACCGCACGCTTGTTCCGTGACAAACGGAGGCCACCTTCGACCTGCGGGCATCTCCGGGGGGCGGGGGTGAGCGTCACGGCCCGGTCAGCGGCCCGGCGTGATCGGTGGCCCGGCGTGGTCGGCACACCGCTGCGGCCGTTGCCGCCAGCGGTACTCCACCTTGTCGGCGAAACACCCGCCGGACCTGTGAATCTCGGCGTTCGCCGTGTGTTCGAAGCAAGTAATGAACACGATTTCTCTGCGCCGTAATGCAGGTGACTGCGCGCCGTGGAGCGGGTGTCATGCGTCGGCCTTCCGCCCTCAGGACCGGGGATAACGCCTCCCTTCGGTGGGCTGGGATACGGCGTCTCGTCATGGTGGGAGGATGCACGTGTTGGCGGCGCCAGAGCGGCTTGATGCCCTCACTGAAGCACGTAATCACGCCGTAAGCAGGGCTTGTAATGAGTACACTACAGCAAAAATGGGAACTGGTGAAGGCAACGACCACTATCAAGCGAGCGTCCTGGCGCGTAAACACCCGCAAGCGGTCGTCATAACCGTCTCACGCCTATTCCGCGCCACCGCATGACAATAAGCGCGGGAACATATCTGACGCACCAGCGCCGCCAGCCGCCTCTGCGGCCGCGTTGGTGCACACGGGGCTGACCTGCGGACCCTGTGGCGCGTGGTGTCAAGGCCACCTGTTCGCCTACGTCGGGAATGTTATGGGGTATGGGAAGTCTGCGGTGTGTTGCCATTGCTGTCCAGTTAAGAAAGTGTAAGTGCAGTGGAAACCAGTCGACGTGATCTTTAGCATCTAAAAACTGAATGCGCCCCGCACGGTCCTTTTGCAAGGCTCGTGATTGCAGCCGTTTCCTCTACGTCTTTCCTGTCGGCTCTGGCTTGGGTGCCGGCCGGTGGTTGGTCGCCGCCCTCGTCTCGAGCCGCTTTTCGGCGAACGCCGTCCGTGTCGACGCGCCGTTGCTCCTTTCTCCAGCGTCGCGAGAACATCACCTGTTCACGAGCGGCCGCAGTCCGGTCGGAGCAGTAGCTACCAGCCGACGTCGCCAGCGAATGCTCTAACGCTCACCGTCCCTCTGACGCCCGTCTGATGTCCGTGCTGGCCACGGAGCCCGCTGCTGGGCGTGTGGCGGGCTATCTTGACTACGGCTGCTGGTCCAGGGTCGCAGCCGTCTGGACAGGATTGGGGCTTCCAGCAGAACGTTTTGACTTTTGGGTGGTGCCTTGGGCGGGCCCATCGTATTGGGTAGTGACACTCTGCGCAGATCCGCGATATTCGCCAGGGCGGTAAGAAGGCGGCGACCATTGACCGACCGCACTACTGACGCCAGTCACCTAGCGTCAGGAAAGAGCCCAGCCGGCCCGCAGCGTGTGCTGTGTCGTCCAACAGGATGATGCAAAGCGTGCCGTGCCATTTCGCCAGGCCACCGCGCTCGTCTGGCTGCGGTGAGAGGGTTCGGCGCGAACGGGCCCGGGGCATGTCCAGTGGAACCAGCCCTGCGATCCAGCCCCGGCTGGATACCGTGCCAGACAGCCCGGTCTCGGAGACGACGGTGGCGTCTCGACACAGGTTTTGTCGGCTGCCGGGCGCCTGCCGCGCTATCGTGAGCGCCTGTCACCCGGGACGGCGTCCGTAGGGGCCGATTGGACTGATAGTTCGGACGCTGGCAGTACTGGTGCCCGTGTTTGGACCCTGTGTTGGCTATGAGTAATGGATCTTGACTGGAGCCCGCGAAGGCAAGATAGTATTATTCTTCACCGGTGATGTACAATCTTCCATCGCTGGAACATAAACAGGAGTGGGGTCCGGTTCGTGGTCAACAACCCGCCACACATGGGACACCCGTGACCTCGAAGCTAGTGTTTGGGTGCTGTTGACCCGGTGTGGAAGGGAGGCAGTGACGACCCCTGCTGTAATAGCGTGCGGCGTGAAAAATGGATCAAACTTCCTGTTTTCTGTTGGAATAACCCCTCTCCCGTAATGATCGTATTCGATACCTAATGGCCATGGGAGTGGAATGAAAAGACAGCGATCTATAGATCATCAAATGTAATCAAACAAGCCCCCTTAAAATTAAGGCATTCTGCTCCTTCGTGCGTGAAATGCATGACGAAAGATAGTTCGCAAGACGGGACGTGATAAAAGGCGGGACGTGATAACGAAATGTATTTAGTGCGCAAGTGCATTACGGCTGCCCCTGCTGTACTCGCTATGCGTAAAGTTACAGATGGGGTTCTACAAGGGCTATTCCTGAGCTCTTCCAAAAGGGCTAAAGGAGGTACGACGTCGTGGCCCTCTACGGGTTCGGGTGTATCTGGTGGTTCGGGTGTGTCTGCCCCTCCGCCTGTTCGTGTGTGTCTGCCCCTCCGCCTGTTCGGGTGTGTCTGCCCATCTAACGGCTCGGCTGTGTCTGTCCCTCTGTCGGTTCGGGGTGTTTGCCCCTCTGACGGTTCGGGTGTGCCCGCCAGTTCGGGTGTGGCTGCCGGTTCGGGTGTGTTTGCCCCCTCTGACGGTTCAGGTGTGCCCGCTAGTTCGGGTGTGTGACGGCTCGGATGTGCCTGCCAGTTCGGTTATGTCTGTCCCTCTGCCGGTTCGGGTGTGTCTGCCTCCCTTGGCGACTCGGTTCTGTCTGCCCCTCTGACGGTTTGGATGTACCTACCAGTTCGGCTGTGTCTGCCCCCTCTGACAGTTCGGTTGTGTCTGCCCCTCTGCCGGTTCGGAGTGTCTGCCCCTCTGACAGTTCGGGCGTGTCTGCCCCTCTGTCGGTTCGGGCGTGTCCGCCCCTCTGTCGGTTCGGGGTGTCTGCCCCTCTGCCGGTTCGGGGTGTCTGCCCCTCTGACAGTTCGGGCGTGTTCGCCCCTCTGCCGGTTCGGGGTCTGCCCCTCCGCCGGTTTGGGTGTGCCCGCCCCCCTCTGACGATATGGGCGTGTCTGCCGCAGGCGTACGTCGTCTCCGCCTCAGGATGCGGTCGTCGGTGAGCGTCATCCTGTCGGACCCGCCGCCCGACTCGGCCATGTCCTTCCCAGACTACCAGCAGACGGCGCTGGACCACCAGAGCCTGCTCATTGTCGTCCGGCAAGTCGGTAAGTACGCGCCCCTGGCGCACGCCTCCATGGTGTGGGGGTCCGCGACCCCCGGCCTGAGGGGACCGCGGTGGAAGGACCGCTTGCCGGCTCAAACGCAGATCTTTCGAGAAATCGCCCGCAGCTGACTCCCAGTCGTATGAAAGGTGACAAAAACAGGCACCGTAGACCTTGTCGGTGTCGACAGGTTTTTGGTTTTATCAGTGGTCCGGCCGGCGTACGCCGGGTCAGTAGAACAGCCGGTAAAACGGATCCTGTCGCACCGCACCGGGCCGCGTATCGGAGACCTTGCTGGGGTCGAACGGTTCAGGACACTCGCTGGCGCATTGTCCTGAGGACACTGAGGACACCCACTGGCGTAGCGGGGCCGACTCTCCTGGATTAACACACCGATCGGACGTGCGCTCAAATAACTGCCGCAACGCTCGCAGCGCGCCCACATCACTGCCGTTTCGAAACGACCGATAGCGGCCGCGCGATAGCGGTGAGCCCATTAGGCGCCGATTCGGTTGAGAAGTGCGGTTTTTGTGCGCCGGCCGCAGGGCGAACAGAAGCCGTGAGCCGGGCACGGAACGACGCGGCCGGTCAGGCGGCGGCCGCTCGTGGCGCGCGGCTGGGGTGCTGGGGCTCCGCCGCGACGGTGCGTTGTGCGCGGATGTCCAGCGGCATCCGTGCGCGTTGGCTAGTGAGTGTGCGAGGGCGCGCTGTCCGTATCCGAGAGGGCTGTTCGTGACGCACGATGGAGCTGCAGCATTCTTGGTGCTGCGCCCGCCCTCTCCGTGGCAGGGCTCCCACAGCATTAGCCCATGACAGCATCGGGTGAAATTATCATTCCAGTCTTAGTCGGGTCAGACAACATTCCCGCGGTCAGATTCCCCGCGATCCGACAGCGGCCCGGAGGCGGCCTGGTGGCCTCAGGGCGCGTGGCGCCGGCTGCCGTCTCGCGTGGCGTCAGGGCGCCCATGCCGCCCAGTCAGCGCACTCAGCGTGCTCAGGGGCCGCGTCCCGCGAGGCCGGCGGCGGCGGTGCGCTGGGAGACGGTCGCACGGCCCGGCCGCGCCCCGCTCGGCCTCCCGTCGGCGGCCGGGCGTGACGTCACCGCTCAGCTCACGCTCACGTGGCCAGCCGCTGCGCTCACAGCTTCACGTGCTTTCCAGGCCTCCGAGTGGTGCCGAGTCCGATCGTAATGGTAGCGAATCAGTCTGAATAGTGACAGACTAATCTGCTCTGTTAAAATTTGGACTGCAGCTTTCGCTGGACTCAAATGCTCAGCTACAAAAGCTAGCAGATGTGAACAGGACTGCGACATAGCGATATTGAACTGGTGTAGTTTAGGTAGAACACACCGAGTAATTTTATCTCAGACAGATCGCCGGCAGCTTGCCTCTGATCTGTCAGGTAATGAACTGCTTCCTGGTATATTTCCGTCCTCCCGCAACATCTGCGCAGCACACCGCCCTCGCTCGGAATACCGCTGCAGTGCACCGCCCTCGCTCGGAGTGCCGGTGCAGGGCCGGCCGGCTGAGCCGCCGCCGCCGGCGGCACCTCGGCGGCGTGGTCCCGGCCGGCGGGTCTCCGGTCGCCGCCAGCTGCCCTGACGCAGCGGCTGGCCGCTCAGCCGTCTCCCCTCCCCCGATCCCCGGAGCTGGTGCTGTATGAGCTTGCGGCGGCGGCGCCCTACAGCCCTGCTCGGGCGGCGGCGCCCCGCCAACGCTTTCACCCGCCTGGGCGGCGGCCGAGCGCGGCGCCGACGGAGGGAGGGTGGCTGCCCGCCGTCCCGCACCCTGTGCTGGCCTGGGCGGGCAGTGGGGTAGGGCGTTCATCTCCGGCCGGCCGGCTCGCCGCGGGGGTCCGTCCATGAACGCTGCATGTACCAGTTTCCTAACCTTTTCAGGTGCATTTTCTCCGAGATTATCTCCCCCTTCCCGCGGCTGAAACGTGCTGAAAGGTCTAATTCGTGTTATACAAAGTAACTGTATCGGCCATTCACAGAGCTGAACGCTGGGTATCTTGCCAGTGCAGTGTTTGACCACTCCACGCTGGTGAAAAAGCACCACCCCTATTTTCGACCGCCGTAGCATACATTGTCGGCGTCCGAGCGTCGCTCTTTGGATCGTGCAGATTTGAGTGAGACGCTTCCCCTCGCGCCACAGCTGGCGCCGGGGCTGGCGCGATATTGGCCGTGGCAGTCCGTCACGACGGGTAATAATAGCCGCGGCTCGGCAGAGCTGGACCGGGGCCGCCCCGCGCTCCCCGCCGTGGGGTGCGGGCCGCGGCCCCGCCCACTGGCCGCGTTTCTGGCGACCGGTGGCGCGTGACCGGACGCCGTGACCTTGGCGGGCGCGTGCCGGCCCGGTCTGGTCCGGTCATTGGTCGGCGCCGGTCATGGACCGCCACACCCCGCCCCGACCTGCCGGCGAAAGCAGCGACGGACGTCTCGTCTCGGGCTAGTGTCTCTGATGGGCTCCAGACTGAGCTGCTCTCGGCGTCTTATCCGCTGATCTGAGCTGGTAAGAAAGATGTCTGACGTAGAGGCCCAATTGGGCAGTAAGTTGTCTTGGAATATCTGGTTACCAAATCCGCTTTATACATGACCACAATCTGACGAATCACGAGAGGATGGGCGTGGGCCCAAGGCGCCTCCCCTTTGGCCGCATTTTTTCCTCTTCGCCATGGATGGCTCCTGACACGACGTCTAAACTCGGCGTGATGCTTTCCCATTGAGCCCCGCCTCCCTCCTCACTATGTAAATCCTGGCCGCGCTTCTGTGACGGAATTGTTTGTCCATGGCGATCTCCGCCTGTCGTCCGTCCGTCCGTCGTTTGGTCCTGGCCTGTCAAGGAATCAGTGCCCGTGTGGTGCGCGGTGATTCGCTGAGGCGATCCTGTGGCCCGGGCCTGCGGCACCCCTCCGCAGGGGAGGCCGGCCTCACCGAGACCGTCTGGGGCTGGTCCGACGCCGTGCCAGATGCCTCATCAGGTGCTGCATCGGCTGCTGACGACCCCCTCCTGTCGACGCCTACGAGCCGCACCACGTGGCGTCAGGCCACGCGACGCTGGCCCTGCTGTAGTGAGCCGTACAGCTGATCGTGCTGGGTGCTCCTGATGGGTAGTTAGTGTTTCCGTTTGCCTTGCATTGCGCATACAAGATGAGCTCCTGCGACGGCGGCCATGGCTGGGGGCATGTTTCGCCCCAGAGGTGCCTGCCTGGGGGCGTGGGCCGCCCACCCTGGGCGCCTGCCTGGGGGCGTGGTCCGCCCCTTGGGCGCCGCGACCCGGCCGCCACGGAGGGCGTGGCCCACGGCTCGGGTTTGGGCGCGGCCGCGCGTCGGGGAGCCGACCGCGACGCGCGCGGCGATCGTGATAAGGCGCCGGGAATGAGGTGCGACCTGTGAACCAGCTGTGAACTCGCCGCACCGCTCTGAGGAGGCGTGTCAGGGTCGGGATGAGATCCACGACACAGATCCACAACGCAGCAAGAGACTGCGTGGGAAGCTTGAGCCGTGGTTGGTTGGACTCGTGGACAATCCTGCCGCGTCGAGCCTGCACGGACTGCGCGTGCCTCGCCTCTCACGTGAAGCCTCGCCGATCCTCCTCGGCGACACAGTTTCCTCGGCGCCGTCTCTCGGACCGGCACAGTCTCCCCGGCGCCGTCTCTCGGGCCAGCACCTGGGCAGCGGCTGGCGGCACGACGCCGGGCGGCTGCGTCACGCATCAGCATCATCACGCATGGCGTGACCGGGGCGGCTGTTTTTGGAGCGCGCGGCGCGTTCTGCAGCCGGCCACGCCGCGGCGCGCACCGTCAGCCGCTGCACGGCCTGACCGACGGGGGGTGCTGCTCGGCCTGGCCGACTGGGGGTGCTGCTCGGCCACTGCTGGCCGTGGCGAGGTAGTACAGAGACGCTCGGGCGCCGCTGGGCATTGGTTGGGGTCGCCATCAGAGAGGAAACTTTCGAAAATGGTCGAGAACAGACGCTTGAAAGCCATAAGAGCATACAATGATGGTGTGTTTGTGATCAGTTGATTCCAAACGGTGGCATGTATTAGTGTGTTCGATCACTTTATTCCATACGATGGCATGAAGCCTTGATTTTAGGGCCCTGTCAAAATAGCTTACTGCGTGTATCCTGACCCCACATGCGGCCTGGGTCCAGGGTGTTTGCAAGCAGAGCCTGTTGCGTGTTCGCTGAACCCGCCTCCCATGTTAGGCTGTGGGACCTTGCGAGTTATCAGTGGTAGGAGTCTAACTTTTTTTGTGCTACCATATATTCGTTGCTGGACCTTTTTCGTATGAAGAGCGCTTTTGGAAAGACAAAGGATTACTTGGTAAAGAGTTATTAATTTATGCTCAGTGACCTAGCTGTTCTGGCCATGTGTAGCATCGAAGATTGATTTCAAATGTGACTTCACATAGATTGGTACAATCTTCACATTCTTGTGTCTGACCGTATTTTCCCGCAGCCACCGTTTGTTTTTTTGTTATTTTTTTTGTTGCTCAGGGACCACGCGAGAAATCGTTTATGACTCCTCGAAAAACTCATTAGGTTGAATGCGCTGCTTCAAAAATGTGGCGTAAGAAATCAGCAGGTAGATAGGCACCAGGCAACTTCCTCAAACATCACCGGTGAAATCACGTTAAAATCAAAGTGAACATTTGCAAGCGCGAACAGCAATGCTCACGGAAACAAGAAGGATCAAAATTAAAGTGCCTGTTTGCAATACCGCGTGTCCGTGGAGGGCCCATTTGAATGCGCGTGCCCACCGTTCCGTCGATCCTCCTTCACCCTGACTTAATAATCTGTTTGTTGGATGTGGTCCCCCATCGTGGCTGAATTCTGAGCCCCATTCAGTATTATTCCCCCTTCCCTGACCCTGACAGAGCCTCAGCCTCTTAGCCTCCGACCCTTTCAAACACCAAGGTATGGCAATACTTCATCATTTGAAACCTTCGACTGCACCTTCTTGTCTCCATCGACCAACTAACCACTTTGTCGTAGCCTG